CTAAAAATGCAACATTTTAACTCTGTTTTTGGTAGATTTTTACGTGACTAACATAAGGCTACTGTGGAAGTGCCCATTTCGGTTACAACGACATTCCTTTATAACGACACTATTTTTAGGTCCCTTTGATGACGTTATAACCAAGTTCTACTGTATTTATATTTAGTGTATATTCACCTTCTTTACAACTATCGCCGCTAAAATGTCGTAGGTAGTTTTACCTTTTACTTTCGTTGCTTTATTTTAAGCGATAATATGTAAGAACAATGCAACCCGGAAAACAAGTGGCCGGCGTTTCTGATCGATATATCTCCTTAGTAACACGGAAGGGGTTAATCTAACGAAGTTCATATTGCGTGCACTTAAAAAGCACGGCTTTGAAGTGATATACAATGGAATGACCTTTCCACAAAGATTAAAAATAGACGAGTTAGTTAGAAAGTTGTCTGAGCGGACAGAAAATTTCTTACGAAACATTATCCTTTCTTGAAAAAGTCTAAAAGGATTTAAGGCTCTCACAGAAAGTGTTATAAAGAGATTTTCTTCTAGTATATACCGCCTTGTGGTTCGTTGAAAGCCATCCTACGTTTCGCAGGAACATGTCGTCTCCATCTTCACAGTCGAATAATAAGCCAACCAAAGAAACTAACGTGAAACACTTAACAAAAACTTCCTTCAGAGCCCGTTGACATTCGACGGACTACATGACGTCATGTCCCAGAAGAATTAACTCTTCAAATCTAAAAGCTTGAGGCGCGCCATAGCTCAACCGGTTAGTCGCTGGCTTCCCATCGCGGCGGCCCGGGTTCGATCCCGCGTCTGGTCAAGTGGGATTTGTGGTGGACAAAGTGGCGCTGGGGCAGGTTTTCTCCGAGTACTTCGGTTTCCCCTGCCAATATTCATTTCACCAATTGCTCCACAATCACCCTCACCTATCATCTGGGGCTGGTACAATAGGCCAGAAGTGGCCGCAGTACAAGGCACTTAGTCCCACCCCACTAGCAATAAAAAAAAATTCTAGACTATCGGCTCACGGATGGCGGTGAGGTTACCAGCCTTACGCACTTGCGCTATTTTACTACAAGGAAGATTCTTGGTACTCCTTTGTTTTAGAGGCTGAGTCGACCCCAGGGCCATAGTGCGACTGGAAAAATTAGGTCAATAAAAAAACGCTTATCTCATCGGGAATCAAACCCACGCTCTTCCGGCTTATAGTATAGTGCCTCAATCAATAATGTTACCACGCATCTCGAACTGAATTTCTTACGAATAACGTATAAAAATTCAGTCCGTACCTCACAGGAAACACATTACGTCTCCGCTACAAAGCCCAACCGGTTAATGCTGTTTAGGGAAACAGTCGCTCTTTATTGTGAGAACCACATAAAACACACAATTACACTCTGTGGACAGAATGCAGTGTTTTAGAACGTTAAACAGAAAAAACTAACTCCGAGGCTTTAGTCGGCAAGCGAACTATACCGACCGAGCGACAGCCGCTTGTCGGCGAGGTTAATGCCAACTTTTGCCTATAGAAGGTGTCGCGTGGTCAGCGCAACGGATCCCCACGGCGGATAATTTCGGTTTTCCAGACCGGAGCCTCTACTTTTCCATTCAAGTAGCTCCTCAATTACCCCCACGAGGCTGAGTGGACTCCCGTTCCAGACCCGGTACTTCTCAGAAAATCTAGTATCTCCGGGAATCGAACCCGGGGCCTCTGGATCTGTAACCAGGAACTCGTACCACTAGACCACGGTCTTAGAACGTTAAAGCAGGTGATATATATACGTAGTGACCTTTAGACGTTAAGAGATCAAAACAACAGTGGAAAGTGTATTTCAAGGAAGTGTACGCAATGGGTACCGCTATCGCCTGTTGCCCGTGTCACAGCTGCGTTGCGTGTTACGTCACCGTGCGGAGGGGGGTGACGGAGCGCTGACTCACCCGCCACGTCACTGCTGGGGGGGAGGGGTTCTCCGTTGCGCAACAAGTCACAATATTTTCCAAACGTTTCAATTGAGAATTTGCATTCCTCATTATCATTAATATTAAGTTGAAGCAGAATCCGTTGTCACACAGATATCAAGCAATGTATTCAGAGAACAATCTCTTTGTAGTGTTTTTAAACATTCGCCATATCAAACTTATTTCCAAATAAATGCGGTAGATTTTAAAGAAATTCCTTTTTCGGTCAAGTTCAGATTCTTAGCACGATAGGCCGTTTGAAGAATACTGGTAAAAAATTCATTTTCAATTCCTATGACGATAGTGTGACATAACCTTTAAAGCCATTTGTGTTTATTTGGACTTTGTAGGCCATTTTTTAATATGAGATTCATGGTGTTATGGAGATTGATTCTATTTCCATCTTCAGGTCCATAAATGAAAAGAGGGGCACAACACAGTATGAATCTCTCATACTCTGTTCAGTTGAAGATGAGAATACCAGTGGAAGCCATTTCCGAAATGTTATGGTTTTTTACATTAAAAACTGTTTTGATAGCCGAAATAAATAGCTTTAGACGCCGATCAAGTTTTGTTTGAACTCCGTATAAAAGAGTGCACTAAAATTAAATTCCCAAAACAAAATGAAATTTTATCGAAATACATCAGAGAGAAACACGTGATCCGATATTCACGACCTCTGCTTTCATTTTGTACGCTTTGTGAAATATGACATCAGCGAGGCGTGCAAAATGGCGAAATCACGTTTGTGAAACAAACAACCTTTCCTGGAATACGCCTTTTTCATTCTTAATGGAATCTCGGACTATCAGCCTTGTCAAATGGTTCAAAATAGAATAAGTTTCGTACACCATGTTCCGTACTCGTCTTCTACTACTGACTCCTGTGATGGGTGCGAAAGTCCTGACCAGGAAGCAAATTATTACATCCTCGGTCTCAAAGTTTGGGGCTTCCCCTCTGATTAGGATCTTGGCTGGTTACACAGTAAGACAATTTCTTGTGTTTTATAATGTATATACCTGTAAATTATATTCAAATATTTTCCTTCGCTCTTTCTGTTATGCTAATTAGGTCACTAATTGCAAAATTAGAATTATCGTTTTCTTTATTCGTGAAAGTGTTACTACCAGGGATGTAATTGGGGGCGCGCGGTAGCGTAGTTGGTTGAAGGGCTATGCTACAAGCCGGAATATCGCGGGTTCGAGTATGAATGAGATGGATTATTTCAATTTACCTAATCCTTCCAGCCGCATTTTGGCCCTGGGGTCGATTCAGCCTCTAACAGAAATGAGTACCAGGAATTAATTAAATAATTTTCCTATGAAGTAAAGCGCGGCTGTCAAGGCTGACAACTTTACCGCCAACTATGAACCGGATGTCTAGATAGTGTGGGACCCTCAACGTCTCACAACCCTATGGGCCTTCACGGCCTGGTACAGGGATAGCTTTACTTTACTTTACTTTACTTTACCAGGGATGTGATTAGTAAGTAATGTCAGGTTTTATTCACTGTTGCTTTTGTCGTTAAGCCATAAACCAGCGTTCTTCATTCAGTGATGCCTCTGATTTCTTGGATCGAACATTCGAAATTTTCTGGAAATTTCCTAGAATATTCTTCGCGTATTAAGAAATCTGTTAATATTCTATAGTAATGTCCGCAGCTGTACTTTGTTGCTGAGACTCTTGTTGTTGCTTTTGTTATTGTTGTTTGTTGAAACATTATACGCATTATTGCCATGTACATAGTTCAAGCAAGTACGAACATTCGGTTGATTATCTTACTGTTCTCTTCATTAAATAACTCCACGGAACTTGGCTCTTATTCAGAAGCCTCCAGTTTTGCAGCTACTCAAGAATTTTCGTACATTTAAAGGAACTCGATGGTTCATTACCGTGTTCACAATATCTACCCACTGGTCCATATCCTGAGCCATATTAATCAAGTCTATATCACCCACTCTTTCCCTCCTAAGATTCATTTTAATATTATCCACCCACCTACCTTATGTCTCATGCTATATGCCCTGCCCATCCCATCCTCCTTTACTTGATCATTCTAATTATTTTGGTCGAGAAGGGTACAAGTTATGAAGCTCTTCGTTATGAAGTTTCCTCCAACCTTCTGTCGCTTGATCTATCTTTGGTTCGAATATTATCCTCAGCACCCTGTTCTCAAACACCCTCAGTCTATGTTTTTCCTTAATGTCAGAGATCGCGTTTCACACCCATACAGAACCACTGGTTAAATTATAGTTTTGTATATTCTAATTTCTCTGTATTTATGCAGCAGGCGAGAAGACAAGAGGTTCTGGACTCAATTGTAGCAAGCATTATCTGAGTTCAATCTCCTCTTAATTTCCTTCTGAATCTAATTTTGATTTGTTGCTGTCATTTCCAAATATTTGAACTGTGCCACATTTTCAAAATATCTATTACCTATCTTTATGTCATGGTTTTACCCCTCATTCTGGTGATGAGACAGCAACATACTTATTCTTTGCTGTGTTTTCTTCTAAACTAACCTCCTTATAACTTTCTGTGTTTCTCTTTATGGTATATATGTTATCACACAGTAGATTCACGTCATCAGTATACAACGGCAGGTGATGTGTTCCATTTAATTTCAGTCCCACCTGGTTTACCAGAACCTTCAAAATGGCATGTTCTAAAGCAAAGTTGAAAAGCAATTGCTTAATTATTTATTGATAATAATGTATACTTACTAATTTGATGATTGGATTAAATGACCGGGAGGAGTTAGCTCTTTGTAATATTCGCTGATCAGAGGTTGTTCATTTTCTCCCCTCCCAGGATTATCAACGAGAATGGATAGTTCTGCCAGCTACTGGACCATTGTGTGATTGCTTGACGTAAAACACCTCTACACATAGTTACGGTGACATCTTGTGGTAAAAGTCAGAAACATTAGTGGTAGTAGTCACATTTGCAGGCAAGCGTAGGAGAATGACGGTCGAGTTTTGTGCAACAAAATAATATACTTCAATCGACTGCTTTCGATATATCGACCACATTCCTGTTAAATTCATGACGTCATAAGCTCGTGTGTGTCGGAAAGAGAAGAAGATTTCTGTAGTAAATCAATAAAAGGAAGTAGTCTGTAGTTTACACCAGTGTCATGACAGGTTTGTAAGTATGATTTGGATTGTTTAATATCTGTTATGCACAATTTTTAAAGAAGCGTATTGTCACACAGATCCCCATGGAGAAGAGTACATTGCATGATACAAAGCGTCTAACCAAACCCTTAAGATTGCTTTATTTTACTTTAGTTCCCTCTTAAGGTCAAAATTTACTTCATATAAGGATAGATTACTTTTGAAGAATGCATCTTATCTAATAAAGTAGTAATTCTGCTATGTGATGGTATTGGCATTGCTTTTGGCAAAGTAATTACATTGTTAATATATATATGTAGGATAGGTTAACAATTGTTTTGTTCTGTGGACATTATTATTGCGTTTTTTAACATTATATATGACGTTTGTTGTTTATTTTGTTCATTGACTGCCTTGTAATGATAATTAATTCAAGATTTCTGTTTCCAGGCTCATACACTAACCAATGAAACTGTTGCACGTTTGTGATGTGAGTATAGTTCCAGTAATTGTGGAGACACCAACGAAGCCAGATAACAACCACTGCGAAGTGAATAAAGGAAAGGAAAAGGTACAACATAGTATTTGTTAAGTAAAATAGCATATCATAAATTATGGCAGAAATCTCCAAGCTTAAGTCTTCCAATTTAGTGTAAGAACATTTACTGTCTTTTTGACTGAATTTTGGTTCGACATTAAATAGAATGTATATTTGATATTATGTCATAATTTATGTGCTTTATATATTGGCAGCACATAAACTGATTCCCAGTTGAAGGGCTTTTTTCCTATTTTTATATTCAGTTAATTCCCTGTTCACCACTTACACAAAATTTTGCAACTGGACTCTATTCTGTACAAAAAAAAAATCAGTCCACTTAACATCCCATTCTTGTAAGATTACTAATGTAGCATCTTTTGAGAATTCAACAGAAGGTAATATCTTTTGTTATGTAGGTTTTCATATTGTTAATTTCCCATACTTTTTTTTTTCTATATTGTTCCATTCCTATATGTTATCCAATTATACTTTGAAACCAATGTCTTTATGTTGTTTACAGCACTTTACATATTCACATCAAAATCATATCAGTACTTACAGAATAGACACAACACTCTAAAACAAAAGACTGCTACTCATTCACTATCTACTGCATAAGTTACGTTCATCCAACAGTTTTGTGCTTGACAATTTGTACCCGTTTAGCCTTCATTACCTCTTCCCCAGGCCTTGGAAACTTATCCTGCTTTTTCCGTCTTGTCACCTTGATAACATAGCTGTAACTTTTAACTACTGATATGCAAATAGCTTAGCATCATAATGGTTTGTTCATGGTAACAAAATTCTAATGCTTCAGATTGGAAACATGACTTTCAGCAGCTTTTTCCTTCATACAGTTTTCTGTATTTTGCCAAATAACCAAGGTCTCCTATGGGCATGGGCTGTAGGGGCCAGTATACTGTACCCAAATTGCTTTTCTTCAAATCTAATGAAACTGTGTCACCAGAGGACATCATTTGTTCATCAATCACACTCATTATCCATGCACTACATTGTTATCTGTTTGCAGTAACCATCTTGTGAAACTGGATTGTTTGCTCTGCCTGTGTGTTTATAACTTTGAGGTTATGTCTGACAATAGTGTAATAGTGGAAATTTATACTAGAGGAACTCCACAGGCGTGGTCACCAATCTGTGCAGTCAGATTGGTGGTAAATTAGATAATGTGCATTGTGCGCTGTGTTGCCAGTTGAAGAAAAATTGAAGTTAGGTGTTTTTGACCAACTTTGTTTATTATAGACAGTCGTCACTGAAAATAAAAATCATCTAAATATGCAGCATATTGTTACTCTAGCGGTTGAAATCATATCAAATGAAGAAATTGCATCTTTGTGTAATAATTTAATTTGTAATTTGGTTAAATAATTTGAGCACATATTCAATTCATTGTTTTGAAGAGCAGCAGTCATCAGTAGTAATGGTTCTAGGAAGAGTTTTTTTCTGGTGATATACAACAGTGTGGTTTACTGTTATTTTGTGTTTACTAAACATAAAGAGAAGGGTTCGTTCTTGATTGGAAATGATTAGGAGTAAACACCAATTACAGATCCCATGATCATAAAAACAAAACAAAAAAAAACTGTGATATCAGTCCGCAAGCAAACTATACTGACTGAGCGACCGCCGCTTCTTGGCGAAGTTTACTGCCAACTTTTGCAGATAGAGAGTGTCATGTGGTCAGCACAACAAATCCCCACATCCGTTAATTTCAGTTTTCTAGACTGGAGCCGCTATTTCCTTGAAATACCTCCTCAGTTATCCTCACAAGGCTGAGTGGACCCCGATCCAGACCCACTACTTCTCCGAAGAAAATCTAGTAGTGCCGGGAATCGAACCCCGACCTCTGGATCTGTAGCCAGGAATGCTGACCACTAGACCACAGAGGCGGTCAATCCCATGACCATGCTAGTTTAAATCTAAGGATATGTATTAAAACTGTTATCAGCCACCCAGTTTTTTGTTGTTTTTTTTTAATATAATGTAAGATAGGAAGCAAGTTTGAAGGACGCAGTATTCTTATTTGCAGTCATGATGTATTTCTAGTGCAAATTCTGACTAAAGTATTATTGTTTTAGTTTGTGTTGCTTGACAAGAGCAGTGGGGACAGAGGCAGAAGCCTGGCTCGGGCAACCAATGTGAACTGGGCCACTCACCTGTTAGAGAAACTGGGGTGCGGTTCTGCCATGCCCACAGCTACAGGTATCCATTATTCTGTTTTAAGGGGTTAAGTCACGTTGAAGCTCACTAGATCCCAGGGATACTGCATCTTTTTATGTTGTGGTAACCAATGTTTTTTTCAAGTGTTAATCTAAAACAGTGTTCATGTGTGACAAATTTTGAAGTTTATGCTTTTTGTTCCCAGAAACTGACTATGGTGCAAGGGTTTTATTCTGCAGTTAATGCCAGGTGGAATAGAACAGTTCTCAAAAATTAAATTGCCATCACATATGGGGGTTATTCTTTCAGAAGTACAGTGCAAGTGTATAATTGAAATGAAAGCTGTTAACAAAAGAAAGAAATAATCAGAATGAGAAATGTTCTGTTGTATATTATTGGCTCAGCCAATGATTATGTATGTTATCCATAAAGGAAGAGCCAGTGTTTTATGTTAAAATCACCAAGCTAGAACACCCAACAGGAAGAGTTCTCGTCATTACACCCAGTTCAGCTGCTTGTGAAATCCCCCGTTTATAGAAACATGAATTCTCATCACCATGCGCACAAAAGTCATTGGACCTAATCCTAAGGAATTCATGTAGTTCGCATCTTCATAGTGTGTTCCTTAAAGATTCATTTTAATATCAGCTTCATGTCTCTGCCTACAGGCCTGCCAAGATTTCTTGATCTCTCATGTCAGCGGCCATTGCTGTTCAGATCAAAACAGCTGAAGCCAACATTAATGTACAGAGATACTGGGTTTTCGGACTTTGTCCATTGTCCGGATTCTAAATAACTTAGAAAAAACACAACGTTTCGGAAACTGGATCTGTTTCCGTCCTCAAGTGAGGGAAGACACCTACTCTGTTAGGTCTCTTAGAAAGAGCTAGCCTCAATCACTCCATCAATCATTCAATGCAGTGATTGAGGCTAGCTCTTTCTAAGGGACCCAACAGAGAGGACGGAAACAGATCCAGTTTCCGAAACGTTGTGTTTTTTCTAAGTTATTTAGAATCCGGACAATGGACAAAGTCCGAAAACCCAGTATCTCTGTGTGTTATACACCATTGTCAGAACCCTATAGTATCTACCAACATTAATGTGTTTGCTAAGCACATTGCCAAACTCACCGCTTTGCGAGCAGATCACCTAGTTATTCATCCAGCCACTAGATTTATTGATGTGTGCTCTGAGCACTGCAAGCTTGTGCTAGCCTGCTTCAGTGCTCGGAGTTGAACTGAAGGTGTAAGAGCAGCACTGCATTCTTCCATCTGAGCTTAGGCTTGCTGTCACATGCAAGCAGGGCAGGGATCTCTAAGTCACATCTGTAGTGAAGGCCCCCCAGGTGGTCCAAAATTTTGTACACATTTCTTGTTTATTCAATACATGCTACATATTATACCCTTTTGATCTTCATTTGGTGCAAATAAGTGAATAGAATGAGTTCGTTATTTTTGTTTTTCGGCATTGCATATATGGTTTCATGTCCATCACTTTTCCTCATCAGTAACAACTTTTGAACCAATTAACTGACTTTCATTAAAGCTGTTACGAAAATCATACCTTTGGGGGTGCATCCTGCATTTTATTTGAAGATAACTAATCATGAAATTTTATATGAAAATGGAACAAAAACTTACTTGCACATTCTGAATGAATATTTTTTTATATGTTCTTTTTTTTCCATCAGTAATCTGTCATACGACAGGTCCACAGTCTCTTCCAAAACAGTTCCTGCACTTAATGCGATCTAGAACTTTCTCCTTCAAATAAAAATATCCTCCTCTGTCCCCAAGGTCATCCAGCATCTTCTTACGTCTTGTTCCTCGTCTTCTGGTCGCATACATGGTATCTCTGTTTTTTGAAAGAGACTATCCAGGAAAAGTGATAATGGGGTAGTTTTTCCAGTTAACAGTTACAAATATGAAGTGAACTGGGGTTGTGACTAGAGAAATGGATGACCTAGAAATTTTTCCACTGATAGAAATTATCAACAGAAGCCAGTTTGCTATAATGTATAATATTTAGTATATTTAGTATATATTTTTTGCTACTCTGTTCTTATAGGTTGAGTCATTTGATGGGAAGTAGATGTCAGAAGTCCTTCCTAAGAAGTTTATATCTTTGCCATCCTCTTCCTAGCTGTTAAGACTCTGTGTTATTTCCTGTTGTTCTTTCTGTTACAGGCAGCAGTAGCTCGCACAGTGGTCATACCAACATCCCAAGCAATGAAGAATGTGGGATTCGAGATGTGTGGGGCCACAACTTGGAAGAAGAATTCCGAACCATTCGTCAGGTCGTTCAGAAGTACCACTATGTTGCAATGGTAAGTAGTGAAGTACAGTAAATGATGTATATATATACATTCTTAAGAACCAGGTTGTTTAATTTATTTCTTTCATAATGTTTGGGTTGCATCCTGGTACTGAGTCACCATATTCAGTAAACAAGTCAAGTATTGCCACATGTAGGGGTGATTTATAAGACAGGTTGGGGACCTTATACATTCACAAAATTGGGGACTGCTGGCAGTTACAGCGCTATCGCTATTCTACACACTTTCCAGTTCACCATTGCACATGCTCTATGATTCTCAGTCTTCACTAGTCGTATCCTGGCAACGGAATTATCACAGTCTCACTGTAACTAGACACAGTATATTTCCTTTATTGCATCATTCTGCAGCTGCCATTTCTGAAGGCTCTACTCTCCGTTCTACTATTGTTCTGTGCTCCCTCTACTTCTACTTTGTGTCTTCTTACTGTGCCCTTTTATAACCCCTCAGTATGGATGACACAGAAAATATTATCTTCTGTTGTTGAGGATGCATGTTTACAGGTCCGTTACATAGCAATGGATCGCTTCAGTCTCCATCATCAACCCAGTTGACAGAGACCAAGGATATCTCTGACACATTACTTTTTGGTTCAATGGTGACAAAGCTGATTGCCTTAGAAGACTGTAGCACATTTATTCGCTGTGTAAGCTTCAAGTGTTAATTATAGAGGCCATGCCATGGCTCAAGCGGTTAGTCGCTGGCTTCCCACTGCAGTGGCCCGGGTTCGATCCCGGGTCTGGTCAAGTGGGATTTGTGGTGGACAAAGAGGCGCTGGAGCAGGTTTTCTCCAAGTACTTCGGTTTTCGCCTGCCAATCTTCATTCCACCAATTGCTCCACAATCACCGTCACCTATCATCTGGGGCTGGTACAATAGGCCAGAAGTGGCTGCAGCACAAGGGACTTAGTCCCACCCCACTAGCAATAAAAAAAAGCCTTAATTATGCTGTGACATTACTGAAGTAAATGTCCAGAGTTGGAGAAAGTCCGCAAAAGAGCTGAAGTACCAGTATCACATGAAACACATAATGAGGTTGGACAAGCATGGTACAAAAAGTACAAAGTGCTCAAGTTTTTGTCACTGCAGTTTGCATATCCTCAGTAAAATGGAAAACCTGCAAAGTTTGATATTCATAATTTTTTCCCCCTGAAATTTTACAGTGTTAATGGAGGGTCATCTTATATTTGGATAAATACTGTAATTTTGCGGTATGATTTTTTTTCCTGTATTTCTTAGGATACAGAGTTCCCTGGAGTGGTGGCTCGACCAATTGGAGAATTTCGCAGCACTGCGGACTATCAGTACCAGCTGCTGCGCTGTAATGTAGACCTTCTGAGGATTATTCAACTTGGTCTGACTTTTCTGGATGAGAATGGCAAGACACCAGGTGGATCGTATACAACGTGGCAGTTCAATTTTAAATTTAATTTATCGTAAGTGGAAATATATTTTCATTGCATATTTTTCATGATGCTTTCATGTGCCTAGAATGGACACTCATTATTGAAACTGTATTCACAACAACATATTTTGTGTTTTATTAGCAGTAGGTACACATAGTTTCGTACACAACCAACAGGAATACTGGAAGTCAACGTGGGCAAAACATGTTACGGGCTTCCTTTAGAAGACCTCTGGCACAAATGTTGAAAACTATTGAAGCTAAATAGGAGTCACATGACACAAATTGCAGGACTGCTTATAAGACACTAGAAACTGAAAAGATTCCTGTTTGGGCTCAGCCAGGAACATTTCTTTTGGCTAGTCAAGGTTCTTCCATTACCTTCATTGCTGATCTTACCTGCTCAGCCTACTTACATACAAAATAACAGGTAGGCTCGTAAAGGGGGAAAGCAGAGGGATGTTTGAAGGGTTGATGCTGTTGACCAGCCAAAAAATAAATCTCCCCCTAACTATAGTAAGGATCCTGTCTATAAAAGGTGATGCAATTTCAAATGTTTTATGTGACTGTAGTTCTGCCTGAGAGTATGATTTTTTCACCTTAAATTCTATTTGAATCCAAGTGGCTATCAGAGCTCTCCATTAACCAGAATGTTGTACTTTATTCCAACTTCGGGACTGTTGGAGGGCAAATCTTAGAAAGGGGACTGCAATAGATTGTAGTCAGTCATGGTGCAAGGGCTATTTAATACCCACCTCATAAATTTGATCTCATCTAAATTCATAATTTGGGATATTTGCTCAAGGTAAATAACGGCTTTGCAAATAAGCGTGTACCCATGGCAGCAGTTGGACACCAGAGTAATGGAAAGCAGTTTTTTCAACACAGTCCATGCTGAGATGTTATAGGCAGGACAAGTCTACAGACAGTTTTCAGTCAGTCAAGAGAAGCGGGTAGTTGAGGCTGGGGATAGTCAGGAACTCACAGAGGGAGGGGAATATCGTTCACTGGAATCCACTACCAGGCAAAAGCAGTGAAGACATAACTTTGGACACTAGTATGCATGTTTAACAGTGAAATGTAAAATGTTGTCATGCACTGTATCAAAGAGTCCAATAAATACAGTCTAAACACCATCTATAGTCACACTCATTATTATTATTATTATTATTATTATTATTATTATTATTATTATTATTATTATTGGAGGGGGTGGGTTTCCCCATGCACCGCGACCGGATTGATCTATTGTACATCCCGCTTTGATATTCTACCAGTCTCCATACCCTACCAGTACTGGTGCTTGCCATCAGCCCCACTCAGCCAGTGAGTTTGGCCTCTACTGGCTCAGTGGTACAAGATGCTTCCTCCATCTACCAGAGGCATTGGAAACTACTTTGGGCGGGAAACTTGCCTAATAATTTGGCTCAGAGGTCTCTTAGAGACATGAGGTTCTTTTACGTGCCATAAATCTACGACACGAGACCCACGGCTTAAAGTCCCTCCCGGAGGACTTGTTCCCTGAATTTTTCTGCCCTTAAAAATTCCACATCCTCTGCCGGGTGTGAACCCGTGTACCTTGAGTCATGAGGTGGGAACGTTACCCCTAAACTACGGAGGCCGCTTAGTCACACTCATACACGTGACAATATATTAAAGTAATATACTTACATAACTTAATGGTTCATCCAATGTGGTTTCATACATTTGACTGAAGAGCTTATAAAACACATGCAAATGCAGTGCTAGTTCTTCCAAGACTGCATAGTTATTTGGCTCTTATAATAATCGTCTGTTTTTGAACCTGTAAGATCACCACCATAATGGCTTCTTATTGCATCATGTTCTGGGCCACTACAATCAGTATTACTGTCCTTTTTAATCTTATACCATGTAGTGGTAAATATCTACCAGGCTATAGAGCATAATTTCTCAGAAGACAGTAATTTTTTAGTCACCACCTAGACAACCTCAAATCTCGCCCTTCAAGTAAGTTTGTATCCATAAATCTTGATTTATGTTACTTATAATTGTGTTGACAGTGTGGAGCTTTCTTTTTGTTGTTATGTTAAGAAGAAGAGAAGCAGATCTTTCTTTTTCTTGGTAAATGCAAACTGGGTGGCTTTCATTTGATGTTCTGCATCCTGGTATCATTGAAGCTCAGGAGAATATGTGTGATTATGATCTAAAAGTTTGTGACGATGGTAAATTGTTGAAATTAATATGCTGTTGGACATTATCCATCATCTTGTCTATTCTTAAAAAAAATTCCTGTTTCTTTTAAAAAGCACAACATTTCGGAGACTGGATTCTGTCCGTCTCTCCGGAGATAGGGGCTAGCTCTGTCTATTGGACCCAACTGAGTAGGTTTTACCTGAAGACGGGGACAGAATCCAGTCCCCGAAATGTTGTGCTTTTTAAAAGAAACAGGACTTTTTTTAAGAACAGACAAGATGATGGATAATGTCCAACAACATATTAATTGTAATATGTGTGATGTTTTATTACAGTGCTAGTAGATTCTAAAGGGCTCTGACGATAGTGTATAATACTCAGAATTGCTTTTTTGGGGGCTTTGTCCATCGTCCAGTATTCTAGAAACTATAAAACAGTGTTTTGGAAAATGGATCTGTTTCCATCCTCAGGTAGGTGGTGGTCTGAAGTAGTCAAATAGCTGTCGTGAATCTGATGGGTTTTTCCAGTGATTGAGGTTAGCTCTTTCTAAGGGACCCAACAGAGTAGCTGTCCCCCCCACCAAAAAACACCTGAAGGTGGAAAAATATCCAGTTTCCTAAACGTTGAGTTTTGTAGTTTCCAGAATTCCAGATGATGGACAAAGTCCAAAATCCCAGTAATTCTGAGTATTTCAATGCTGTTTGCAAGTATCGTACTTTCTGTTCTTCATACAGAGTTACGAAGAAGAGTTCCAGTATTTAACAGATTAATATCTTATGAAATATAAGACATGCAATGAAGCAGTTTGTTTGAAATGTTTAAAACTATTTGTATTAAAATTTGATGCATAATATTTGATGCCTCTCTGTTTAACATTAAATGCAGGTGCACTGGTTTCTTGTTTGTAACAATAAGGAAGTTCCTAGTTGAAAACCTCCTTGGCTGCGCCTATCGTGATAGGACTTTTGTGGGTATGTAGCGATGTAGATAGTGTTTCTCAAGCAGCAGATTATATATATATACACCATCGTTCAGAGCAGTTATTGTCCCACTGTCCATAACCACTTCTTGAGGTGTCTTTATGTACTTGTTACTTTACCATATGCCACCACTCAATTACTTCATTCTTCTTCTTTTGTGTTTCCATTGGTCACTGCACTGAACTGAAAACTGACTTGCTGACTGATTCATTACCAGTAACTGGTGATTCACAGCACTCACTGCTGGTCTGTGCATGTCACACTTTGAGAATGTTCTTGTGCTTGTGCAAGGAACCATGGCTTTCAGTCTCTGGTATGGTCTGGAGAAGGGGGGAGTCTTGATATTTTGTTGGGATGAGAGGGACATACAGCCCAGGTGACACAGCAACCCCCCTCACACACTCAGCTTTCCCAACAGTGTATTGCTACAAGAGAGAAAAATACCACAGTGTCAGAAATGGACTTCAGGATGCAGAACGGGAAGTAATTGATCCTTTTGTCAAGAGGGATCAATTTTTACTCAGAAATGTGTTTTGTTAATGATATGAAATTGAACACAGGAGATTCTGACAAATTAAATTGTTATCATATTCCTTTGTGTATAATTTTTAATTCTGAATATTCAGTGTAATTTATTGATGCATCTTCAGCGCTGATATGATAGACCCTTAGTGAAAATTAGGTGTTGGGGGAACAGCTGAAGTACCCATGTTATAAGTGAAATTAATATCTCTGTTATTTTGTATGCAGCATTTATTCAGTGACGTACGTATGAAAATCATTTCGGTAATTTCAGAGGTTAAACTTGCAGATGGGCAAACATAACTTCGCCTGTATATGTTCTCCATTAAGATGGATAGTAGAATGTGAGTCCATTACATGAAGGTGCAAACTTGGGTTTCAGGGAAGATATGTATGCACAAGATAGCATCGATCTGCTCCAGAATTCTGGAATTCAATTCAAGAAACATGAGGAAGAAGGAATTGATCCTTTGGACTTTGCTGAACTTCTCATGACATCAGGCATTGTACTCATGGACAACATCAAGTGGTTGTCCTTTCACAGGTCAGTGGAAGCATTCTGCACATGTGGCGATCATACTGTCAGATATTTCCCACTTGTGACATCTGAGTGACAACTTTATCTTGTAAATGTTTCCCTGGCACACAGCTTTCTGCAGGGAGCAATATCATACTTGTGCTAGTAAACTCTAAAGGGCTCTGAGGATATTATATAACGCTCTCAGAATTACTCGGTATTTAGTCTTTGTCCATCCTCTGGTATTCTAAAAAAATATAGAGAAGACAGTGTTTTGGAAATTGGATCTGTTGCCATCCTCATGTGAGTGGAAGACACCTACTCTGTTAGATCCGTAAAAAGAGCTAACCTCAGTCACTGGTTAGCGCTTTCAAAGGGGCACAATGGAGTAGGTGTCTCCCACTCACTTAGTGGAAACAGATCCAGTTTCTGAAACATCATCTTCTCTATTTTTTTAGAATACCAGAGGATGGACGAAGCCCAAAAACCCAGTAATTCTGAGCATTATTGTCCTGTTGGGTGACAGACATTTATATGCAACGGTACCTATATCCAACTTACACAGTTTATGTCTGTTTCAGTGGTTATGACTTTGGGTACCTCCTCAAATTGCTAACAGACCAGAACCTCCCACAGGAAGAGAGTGATTTCTTTGAGTTGCTGAGGATATACTTTCCAACTGTATATGATGTTAAAGTGAGTAATCTAGTTGGAATTCTGTATCACTGAACCTGAAACTTGCGAAAAGAAATTTGACAGTTTTTAATTGAGGGTGTCGTATAATTTAATACCAAATGGGAAGTATGTAAATTTGTTGTGCAGACTGCCTCTGTGGTCTAGTGGTCAACGTTCCTGCCTACAGATCCAGAGGTCTGGGTTCGATTCTCAGTGCTACCAGATTTTTTCTGAGAAGTAGTGGGTCTGGAACAGGGTGCACTCAGCCTCGTGATGATAATTGAGGAGTTATTTGAAGGATAAAGCGGCTCCGGTCTAGAAAACTGAAATTAACAGCCGTGGGGATTCGTTGTGCTGATCATGCAACACCCTCTCTCCGCAAAAGTTGGCAGTAAACTTCACCAACAAGCGGCAGTTGCTCGGTCGATATAGTTCGATGGCGGACTAAAATCACAGAGTTTGTTTTAATCTCTGTATTTCAAAGATTTGTTTAGGTACACCAATAAATGGTTTGAAGAAATGTGAACATGTGTATGTGTGTATTCATTGCTCCTGACAAATTTGTAACTGAATTTGGAGTGTATCAGCCTCTCACAGTGGTTCATTGTCCACATTAAAAATGTAGGTCCCCTCTGCTAGCCATCATCTTTGTGATTAGCCTATCATCAAGAGTAAATGGAATTATGCCCTACATGGTTACTCCTCAAAAGTGGCCCCCTTCACTCCATATAAATCAGGCAGATGCCACTAAGTCAAAAAGACTATGCTGGTAAGATGAGAAATGTCCAGGAAATCTGAAGACATTGCTATCATCCATGCTGTAGAATTATTATTGCTTCCTAATCTTCAACACTGAAGAGCAGTAGGCTGGAAAATTACACGGGGCGCTCATATCTGCGTGATTCCCAAGACTATTTGTTGCAGACAGGACACACATGATAGTAATTTTCCACCTTCCTTTCTTTTGGCAAAAACTAAACTCTCCTGTTACACTCTTAATGCTATTAACATAAATGTGGGCTGTTCATTAACTTAACATTTCAAAGGTATTCAGTATTCAGTATTAGAGGGGGTGGGTTTCCCCATGCACCGCAACTAGTAGTCTATTTTACGTCCCCATTTTTTAATTTCTACTGTCGCCATACCCTACCGGGACTGGTGCTCACTATCTGCCCCTTTCTGCCAGTGAGGTCGGCCCTCTTCTGGCAGTGACCCGATAACTTCCCCATCTACCGGAGGCATTGGAAACTACTTGGGCGGGAAACTTTTTGCCTAACTTTGCTCAGAGGTCTCCTAGAGACATGAGGATCTTTTACGTGCCGTAAATCTACGACATGGGACCCACGGCTTAAAGTCCCTCCTGGAGGACCTGTTCCCTAAATTTTTCCACCCTTGAAAATTCCACAACCACCGCCGGGTTTCAACCCGCGTACCTTGAGTCATGAGGTTGGGATGTTACCCCTAGATTACAGAGGCCACTCTTTCAAAGGTATACTACACTGATATTTATTACTTTGACATAAACATCCAAACCAATGTGGAATAGCAGGCAGACAGTTGAGACATTTGTCTGATCAGTACAACACATGTTTGATCTCTGTAGGGAATAAACAAGGGCTCAGTGTAGGATCTGAGGTTCTCACAGAAGTGGTTGTGAAGAGTACTGTCTTCTGGGATATAGCGCCATGTAGGATCTGAGGTTCTCACAGAAGTGGTTGTGAAGAGTACTGTCTTCTGGGATATA